TCTCAGCTCCAGGAAAAAGATTCGGATTATGATGGGGGGGAGGAATGCCGATGTTCTCGATTTAGTTATTTTGACGAGCCTCTGATTTCACTACGATGCCTCACATATGGTATGACATTTGATAAAACATGAACAAAATAATGATAGTCGTCTAAGTGAGCTCGCTTATAGCACTATGGGCCAGACAAACAATTGCCTGACATGGAATATTGTGTAAAGCTCTATGAGCTTTCGAGTAGGGACATGCGCTATACAAATGGTATTTATTATTATTAAGTGGAATTGACTTTGGCATGGAATGAGTTAATTCTTAGCTTTTGTCAGAATCTGAACACTGATCTCTTGGAGAAAAACATAATGTCATAAGATATGGTTTGAATATTACTTAACCTTCTGTGCATTATTTCTACACAGATTACAGATGAAGACACTCTAAAGGTACCCTCGTCTCGCAGAATGGCCTTTTTGTGTAATCAGCTGTAACCTCACCATATTTTGCTGGTGTTCCTGTCTAGCTACTGTCTCACACTTGTGTTAATTTAATTTTATCTGCACAGTTCGATTGTCTTGAGACTTTTTTTATGTAAAGCTTCGTTTATTTTTTGTTTGTTTTGATAGTAATGACTCCTGCATGATGCGAGCACCTTCTAGACATCACATCTTTTGGTTTTGTGTCGTTAACATATTATCCCTAAGTAAATTTGACATAGAAGGGATATGGTGTTTTTGCTGATTTGCATATATATATATAGGGCTATGAAGTACAGCACTGACTGATATATGTAGAAAATTAAACCATTTTTTTTGCTGTGCATGGTGGCAAAGAACCTGGAGATGTTTGTGTAAATTAAGCGTCCTACCGTAACACCACTTTTCTCTCTATTTCTTTGCTGTAGAAAAAGAAAAAAACACACTAGGACCTCGATGTCTCTGCGTGCATGGGGTTTTTTTTCAACTTTAGAAAAAGAAAAATAACACATTAGGACCTCGATGTCTCTGTGTGCATGGGTTTTTTTTTTCCAACTTTAGAAAAAGAAAAATAACACATTAGGACCTCGATGTCTCTGTGTGCATGGGGTTTTTTTTTTCCAACTTTAGAAAAAGAAAAATAACACATTAGGACCTTGATATCTCTGTGTGCATGGTTTTTTTTTTCTACTTGGATATGTTAATAATGTTTGTTTTGTTATAATCTTCTGGGTGTCCATATATTGCTGTCACTTAATGACGGCTAATAGTGGTTGTTGGTGGCTAACGCTCAGCTGAATTGTATGTAACATTTTCTGAGGCCCTCCATGCTTCATATTTTATTTTGCTAATTTTTGTATTTAAAATTTTTTTTCTTATGTTTATTTTTTGTTTGTTTTGTTTTTGTGTGTGTATGTTCGCCGACTTTTCGTTTCAGCTTGTCAATATTCTTCCATTCTTTCTGGCAGTAGTCATTTCTGTTAGTAGATTGTCGTATCGCATTCTTTCTTTTGTCAATGTTTTGGATGTGATGTTAGATATTCTGGTTTCTGTAGCTCTGTGCTGCCAACAGTGATGATGTGATTGTATTCCTCTGGTCTGTGGAAACCCATGGTTTCTGAGACAACAAAAGTGGGTGGTTGGTGGGTGCTCTGGTGTGGTTTGCTTCTTCTTTCCTATAAAACATTTATCATCCTAATCTCTCCTCCTTCTTTTTAGTGTTTGTTACTCCCTTGTAACACCTCTAATCTTCGGCACTTATATGACCTTATTTTGTTGCAAGTGCCGTAATACTCTTACTAAATCAAACAAAAGTGTTTTCATGTATTCTTCATTCCACTCACTGTTGTTATCTATCATTTCATAGAAATTTAGTTGACATCCTTTAGTATTGGTGGGTGGTTGGCAGGTGCTCTGGTTTGGTTTTTCTCCTTCTTTCCTATTAATCATCTATCGTCCTTATATCTCTCCTCCTTCTCTTTGCATGTTACTCTCTAGTAACACTTCTTATTTTCAGCACTTATATATATGACCTATTTGTGTTGCAAGTGCCGTAAACCTCTGTCTAAAACTAAACTCTTTTAGTACTATTTGCCCTCATATAACTTTATGAATTTGCAAGTGCAGCCAAACTCCTACTAAACATTTTAGTAGCATGTGCTGCCTTTCAAAGCTCACTTTTGTTTTACAAAGTAAAATTACTTCCATTTTGGCTTAGTGCTGTTGCTTATGCACAATCAAGATTGAAGGCTTGTGACATATTCCGTAGTTCCAAAGGTTTTGTTTGTTTTTGCAACCAGTCCAGTAACCCCCCCCCCCCCCCCCCCCCCTTTCCCTCCGCCCTGTTCCATTTTTTTTTTCTCCTTAACCTGACAATGACCAGCCTGCCAAGACCTGTTTTCATCATCCCTTTGGTTACGTTACATTTACACTTGCTTGACCACATTCCTTGTCCTTGACACCCCAGGGAAAAAGACAATCCATGGTCATCTTATTACCAATTTGAAAGCCAGATTACTAAGTTTTTAAAAATTTGCTGATTACTAAAACATTAACTAGTGGGTTGGCAGCCCTGTATAAGGTATGATTTAGGAATTCTTTTTTTTTTTTTTTTTGGTTTTTGGCTTCTGACTTAGGCGTAAATCTTCAAATGTTGGGCAAAGATCTAAGAACCAGAAGTAACTTATTGACTAATGTGAACTGAAAGTTAGATTATTTGTAACAATATTTTTTTTTAAAACATTGTTATTTTCCAATCATTCGTAATTTCTATTTTCTTCTGTTTGTTTCTCAGCTCCAGGAAAAAGATTCGGATTATGATGAGATGGAGCAGTGGCTGGCCACCCATGGAGGAGCGGTAAGCTTGGGTTGTCTGCTCAGATACACAGTTTAAACACACAATCTATATACATTATATTTGTGACAGTTCGTCTCTTTGGTCACCTAAAACTTACAAACCGCTTAATTTTTTATTTTGAAAACATTAATGGTGGTTCAGAATCTCGGACAAGGGCGAAAAATTTCGGAGGGCCCGTGTGCAAGTTGCGCACGTTAAAGATCCCTTGGTGGTCTAAAATCGATAAGAGTAGGCTTCGGCCGCCACCCGCGCAAAATTCAAAATTTCCTACCAACTGAAAAAATTAGGTGTGTCCCGCGCGCTCATATGACCTTATGCAGTTGTGAGTGCCGTAAAACACTTTACAAAAACAAACAAAGAATCTTTTAAAGAGTGCACAGTTTGTTTGTTTTTGTTTTGTTTTTTTGGGGGGGGGGGTTATCCCGTGTCCTGATTTTGGTACCCATATTTGTTGGTTACGTAAGAATGTATTGACATTTTGCAAATTGTTGTTTTCTAGAAAAACAAGAAAAAAGGGAATAGTATGATTGTTAAGTTGGTAATGATGATGATGGTGACGGTAATGGTACGTGTGATGTGATCATGATGATGATTATTTATGTTGGCGATGATGTTCTGGTGTAGGAGATGATGTGCGTATTAGTCTTAGTGTTAAGTTTGTTTGGCGCTTACTCTAGATCCCCGCCAGGCTGTTCTGGGGGGCAGGACACAACCCTCATTCCCAATTCCTCGCATAGAGTGACAAAAAATTTGGAAATAATATGTCATCTTCTTCCCGAGTATTTAATAAAAGTATGACAAAAAATCACATTGGGGCCGCATCTGAGTGATGACATTGTTAGTGTGTTTGTTCCCTATGTCTTTGCTATCATATTTTCAAAACAGTGAAAGGAGTGAGGCCAATAATCTTTGTATTAATTTTCATAGTCAATGTAGACTAACCTCTGTGCTTACAAGTTATCGCTATCATCATTCGCAACCGGTTCCGACGATCGGTTCTTTTGAGTCCTTTCGTCAAACGGGTACCCAGCTAGTAAAGTATACTTTTAAAACTCATCATGAGGGGGTGGACTCAAAAGAATCGATCGTCAAATTATTGTGGAATCAGTGCCCACTGCTTGTGAAAGGAACCACCACTTCTTTACAATGGCGTCTTAGAAGACGAACTTTCCCAATATTCGATCTAAATGAAACTACTGAAAATCTTTAAATTAAATTGCAGTGACTTTAGACTCCTTAATATAACTGTGCTTTCTTTAAATCCTCCGACGATCACAGAAGTGCCTCGGAACCGATTGCGAATGACGATAGCGATAACTTGTAGGCACACTTTTTGTTGAATATGAGGTTATCTCAAGTTTGAAGGGAATTTTACTGGGGGTTGCTTTTTCTCTGTTTGCCGCCTCCCCTCCGAGAGAAGCTCGGAAAAGTATGACAACCTTGTTTGTTTTCCTTTTTTGCAGGAGTCGGATGGAAAACCTCAGCAACCAATCACCAGCTCGGGTAATTACAACTTCTTTCTCTCCGTGTGAATAGTTAGACTGAACGGGCGAGTTCTTCTTTCTCTCCGTGTGAATAGTTAGACTGAACGGGCGAGTTCTTATTTCATTAGTGCCTGCTTTTGACTGTTTGTCTGTACGGCTGTGGAGAGCAGCTGCAGCCAGAGGGGTCGTGACCTGCTGGGGGCAGTGCTGAAGACAAGTGTCTCGGTGTTGCGTTCTTTTAGTTACATTTTCCTCCTACTCTCTCCCCCCCCCTCCCCCTTCTACCTTTTGGTTTTTCAAATTTATTCTGTGAGTGTACACAGTTTGGTACTGAGAGAAATCTGAGGAGCTTTCTAGGTGAAATGTTTGGAGTCTTTTTGTAGGCTTGCCAACCCGTTCTCTATTGCTGTAAAAAAAAATCTAGTGGAAATACACAACAAATGTGGATTTTCAGCCTCTGAACATTGCAATTAAAAGCCCAGTAAGCGAAACTTTCCGATTTGGTTTTTACTTCCTATATGCAAAACAGATCTGAGGGGTTTGGCAAGTCTGTTTTTTGTCTCTAATTAGTTATGAATGGTTCAGTAATGATATGAGTTATGTCATTAAAATTGGTAGTTAAGTTTTCAAGAGAAGCATAAAAGGGTGTACACACCAGTCTTATAGATTTTTTTTGGTATTTGAAACACTAGTGTTAGAGTGATTTATATCTTAGTTTTAACTAATATGCTGTCTTCAGGTGGGGGTAAAAGTAATGTAGGACAACCACTATAGTTTACGGGACAGAGTTCAGATTATGCTATTGTTTCACCAAAATTGTATTATTTTGTTTCTCTGTGACCTTTTTCTTTTCATCTTTGTAGAAGACTGGCCCTTAAGCCCAGGTGATGCTAACTCTATTTGCAAGCACATGTCCTCAGTGCTAATCCCATCTGTTTGTTTGGTTGTTTTTTTCCCCTATTAGTTGCACTCACCATCAGTTTGCTTATTTAGGGAAATATTTATTATTCTTTTGATTTCATGCTTGATGGGAATGTACTTTTGTTTTTTTCAACAAATGAAGAGTCCACACAAAAAAAAACAAGAAAAACATCAAAAAGCGAAACGGGTGTAGTCACAAAATGGAAATGGTGAAGATGTGGATTCTAAAAGCTTGTAAACTCATACCTTCATTTCTGTTTGGTTGTTGGTTTATTATTTTTTGTCAGCTGAACAGGAATTGAAACAAAAATAATACCCCCCCGGTGCGGTGCCACTGACTGTAGTGTCTTTAGGCCATTCCCAAAGGGGAGGCTTTTCTCGTTCAAGCTCAGTAGAATTGAAAATGGGCTGATACATCATGTCACGCTCATAACTGCCTGATCTACAACAGGGAACTGCTGCTTTCTCTGATTCCCTGTAAAGACTTCTCTGTTGACACCCACCCCTTGGTGCTCATATGACCTTATGCAGTTGCGAGCGCCGTAAAACCCTCTACAAAAAAAAAAAAATTTTTTAAAAGAATCAATCAATGATTGAACTAAAGTGAGGTTATGATGAGTCTACTCAAGCACTTGTTTGATATCCTCACGATTTCCATTTTGTGACTACGTCTGTTTTTTCCGGTGGACTCGACAAATGTGGATGTTGTTTGAGTGCTAGATGTTCCAGGTGGTTTTTGTTTGATCCTCTTCTTGTTTCACCCTATTGACATTGTTGTGAAGATGGTGCAGTTATGTAAGTAAACAGTCAAAACGTTTGCCTCGCTTCTTGGAACAGGTGTGGGTGTTTGATTTCCTTCTTTTTTTTTTTTTTTCTTTTAAAGATTTTTTTTTGTTAGTCCTTTGTTCTGGAGAAGATTTTTGTTTAAAAATCTCGCACACATTTTCTTTCTTTTTTTAAAATTCCATTTTTGTTTTTTCACATTTCTCTATAGGTTTTGAGTTGCAGATGATACTTCGAGTAGTCCTATGATAAGTTTTCACTTCACCTCTTCTTGTTCTAGAGTTAGAGTCCGACTTGGACCTGCTAGGGCTCAAGTTTTGTTACATTTTTGAATTCAAACAATTGTGAAAAGATATTTTTCAATGTCTTTGGTTCAGGTCCAAGTCTTTCTTCACCTATATAGATGAATCTTTGAAGAAAATGATTACGATATGATTTTGGGTTGATTTTTCATTTTTAAAGTCCATGCTTGGCTTGTGGTCTGCCAAAGTGCGGCTTTTTGTCTTTGGGTATAGGTTTATATTGACTCTAAGTTTTGCATTCAGTGTCCACGTTGGTTTACCGGTATTTCATTCTATCAGAAATACGTAGTAGTTTTGCTTTTCTTAAAGAAATTATTCAAGCCCAGCAAAATTCTGTTGTGGTTTTTGAGATTTGACTCTTTTGCTTTGTGGAGACAGGTTCAGTCGACTGTGCTCTTGCGACGAAGCTAGGACTACCCAGCATGCATGTCATTAATCACATGCATGGACGGCACTCTGGCTCTGGTTTAGCCATTTAGCTTTTGCATACTTTATTTCTTATCCCAATTTTTTTTTTTTTAAATAAATTTTATTTTTTGTAGCTGGCATGTATCAGAGTTGACTTTCTTTTGTACCTACAGTCTCGTTTTCCTCCCTTGTGACGTCACCAGCGTGTTGATAACTGTAACTGACCTGGTGTCCGAGAGCTGACACTTCTGACCTCAAATTTTCTTTTTTTCAACTGGGATTAAAGTACAGTTAGTTGTAATGTTTTTTTGGCTTCATAGTATAGTGTCGTTGGCTTTTATCCAGATCATCATGTAGAATCAAGGGTGTTGGTTTTTCAAAAATATCTCAACTGGTAGTAAAAATTATAAGTAGAATGTTGGATGTTGGTTTCTGAAATACGTCTCAACTGTTAGATAGAGCAGTGTTGGAATGGTTTAGTTTAAGTTAGTGATTATCTCCTTAATGTCCTATTCAAGGCATGGTTATAGTTGTTCTTGATAGTGCAATAAAATTTCGTTTTCTTTATTTGATAACAAACAAACACACTTGTAAGATGAATGTTCAGCTGCAAGGTTAACCCTTCCAGCCCCAAGCGCGTATATTTTCAGCAGAGCTTGTACCTCCCAAGAGCGTATATTCTCAGTTTCGGGAGGTACCAATTTTGCGCATTTTTCTAAATTAGCGAACCTAATTAAACTGTAATTTTCATAATATTCGTTCATTTACCTTTGAACAGTGTTCTATGTTATTACCTAAACCTCATTACAAAGATACTAGATCACTTTTTAGAATGCATGCTAGTTTCTCTGAAATACCGCTGTGTTGGCTGGGACTGGGGTAAGGAAGTGCACAAAATGGCTGGGGCTGGAAGGGTTAAATGAATTTAGTCATGTCCACTCAGAGTTCTATGGTAGTAAGTTGAATAATTATAGGTAAGTCTGGGCCGGAAGTATAAGACGGAAAATATTATTGAACGTAGGAGTGAGAAACAAGTCCCTTCTTTTGGGGCGAGAGGAGGGGGGGGGGGGGGGTAGGACTGCTTCTTGAAAAATGAAGTTACTGTGTCACACGTAATGCAGAGATGACCTGTAGAACAAATTGCAAGCACTGATAGAGTCATTCCTTTTCCTTTTTTTTTTTTTAAATTAATTTTTAGAGCAACCTTCCTCTAACAAAAAAGAAAGAAAGAAAAATGGCGTGATGTATCATTGTTTACAATTTTTGAACAGGTTGTCATCCTTGTATTACCACGTGTCTATAGTTTCATTTTTTCATGAGATGGCCCTTTATATTATTGTATCGGGAGTGGTTATTTCTGATTCTCAGCTAATTTGAGGCATTTTTTAAAATTGATGGGACCGATAATTATCTTCTTTATGAATGTAGTTTGGGTTCAGTGTAATAGTCAAAGAGAGAGAGAGTTAAGGCTTTGGCTACTGTGGCAGAGTTTGTATTTACTTGGGAGGAGAGGGAGTTACTCGGGAGGAGAGAGAGGTTGTTGGTCATTTCTCTGTCGTCACAGGACGTCGTGAGATTTCTCCCCCGTAACCTCCGTGTTCTAGCCGGTGTGCATGTTGTGCTGTGCTGAGTTCCCCGCTGGTTTGCTCACGTCAGAGGGTCCCGTCAGTGTTGTGCATCTTGCCGTTGAGAGTGGAGAGAGATCTGATACGTTATTAGTCAGCGTCATGGGCTCACTTTGTAATGGTGTAATAATTATTGCAAGTTATAATTTTCAGTTTAGTATTTTTTAATTATTTTTTTTGTGTTTTACTGTCCCAAATGTTTGTTAGTAGTGTAGTGAAAAGACTAATTTGGGTTTACAATACACACTGCTGTTGAGTTAAGTAACAATATTGAGAAAACCTAATGGTGTTTTTTTTCTTAAAATGAGTTTCCCACTTTCTGATACATGTATGCTATGAAGAATATGAAAATTGTTGAGTTTTCGACTTTTGTAGCTTCAATAAGAAAAAATGATCCCAAATCCTTCCTCTGTGACATTGGTGCTAGCTCATCATTTAAAAATTATTTTTTTTCCAGGTTTATCATGTTCTTTCCAATATTGCTCCCTGTCGCTGTCCGCCTCCTTGTGTGGATTGTGGATGGGTGCTCTGGTGTGGTCTTCTCCTTCTTTCCTATCAAACATCTATCGTCCTTGTCTCTCCTCCTTCTTTGCTGTGTTTGTTACTCTTGTGTAACACCTCGCACCTATATGACCTTATTGTGTTGCAAGTGCCGTAAAACTCTTTCTGTGGGTGATTGGCGGGTGCTCTGGTGTGGTTTGCTCCTTCTTTCCTGTCAAACATCTGTCGTCTTTATCTCCCCTCCTCCTTTTTTGTGTTTGTTACTCACTTGTAACACCTCTAATCTTCGGCACTTATATGACCTTATTGTGTTGCAAGTGCTGTAAAACTCTTACTAAAACTAAACTAAAACTCTTTCTAAAACTAAAACTAGGCCTCCTTCTTGTCTGTGAATTTCTGGTTTAGCTTTCTTCCAGAGGCTCGGCTTATGCTATTATCACACAAATCATAATTTGTCTTTAGTTACCCGAGCTGGGTGTTGTTAGGAGAGGTGAGGTGCCCACATTTACTTATTTGTGGGTGGTTGGTGGGTGCTCCGGTGTGGTTTGCTCTTTCTTTCGTATCAAACATCTATCTCTCCTTCTGTTTCATATTTGTTACTCTCTTGTAACACCTCTAATCTTTTTTAAAATTTTATTGTTACCTATAAGAGTTGTTTTAAATCACAAATATATTTACACTGAATTTTAATATTTTAACATTTTAGCATTTTAAAGTCAATTAGTTAACCAATCATGCTGTGAACTTTTGCGAAAGTAAACAACTTGTGTTTCACGCGCTCATATGACCTTAGCAGTTGCGAGCGCCGTAAAACCCTATACTACATACATCTAATCTTCGGCACTTATAAGACCTTATTGTGTTGCAAGTGATGTAAAACTCTTACTAAAACTTTTTAAAAAACATTTCCATATTTTTTTGTGTCAGTTGATTAAGTGTGAGATCATGGGTACCTAGTAGACAGCGGCTGTAGTGTGATATCTTATTGGATGGGTGGTTGATGGGTGCTCTGTTTTTGTTTGCTCCTTCTTTCCTATCAAACATCTATCGTCCTTTTCAGTCTTCCTTCTTGTTATGTTTGTTACCCTCTTGTAACACCTCTAATCTTCAGCACTTATATGACCTAATTGTGCTGCAAGTGCCATTCAACTCTTACCAAAAGAGAAAAAAAAGGACTCCACCAACGTGTAGATGTTTAGGGTTCAAACCTGAATTGAGGTCTGCTTTTTCTCATCTTTCCTTTGGATGTTTTTACTCTTAGCCTAGCGTCCTGTCTAGGATTAACATGATCCCAGCTACGTTCAGGATTTTTATTGAACCCGTGTTGTGCATAACACTTCACCATTTATTTAGAACATCCGGTGGACCAATGCTTTTACTAAAACCGTCTTTTGTCTGCTGTTTTTTTCTTCAACGGCCTTTCGTAGTGAATTACTCCATATCCTTTCTTAGTGAATTACCACCATATCCTTTCGTAGTGAATTACCTCCATATCCTTTCGTAGTGAATTACCTCCCTATCCTTTCTTAGTGAATTACCTCCATATCCTTTCTTAGTGAATTACTCCATATCCTTTCTTACTCCATATCCTTTCTTAGTGAATTACCTCCATATCCTTTCGTAGTGAATTACCTCCATATCCTTTCGTAGTGAATTACTCCATATCCTTTCTTAGTGAATTACCTCCATATCCTTTCGTAGTGAATTACCTCCATATCCTTTCTTAGTGAATTACTCCATATCCTTTCTTACTCCATATCCTTTCTTAGTGAATTACCTCCATATGCTTATGTTTCTTTTCAGTTATTTTTTAGGTGTATTTGTCGGTGGGTTTCTGTCTCATAGTGGAGCTGTTGTGCAGATGAAAAGACTCCTAATCAAGAGCATTCTTGTCCTTCATCTTTTAACGGGCATCTCAGTCTCTCGTTTGAAGGCTGCTGTTTGTCGCATGTCTTCCAGGCTATTGTCGAGTGTTGGGGCTTCTTGCCTAGGGTTGGGCCAGTAGTTCTGTTTGAGTGCTTTGTGGGTCGGGCAGGCTTGCAGTAGATGGTTGGCTGTTTGTTTGGCTGCCAGTTCCGCATGAATACAGAGCGTTTTTCCATCCATTCTTCTGTAGAAGAGGGTCTGGGTATTTTGCGGATGACTAGAGGATGCTGACGCTTCTTCTGTTTCTCACTGTGTGTGGAAATCTTTGTGGTTTTTCAGTATGACCACCATTATGTTGATGTGTTCCTCAGATGTCTGTCTTCTACTTCTTTGACCACCATTATGTTGATGTCTTCCTCAGATGTCTGCCTTCTACTTCTTTGTAAATTTGCTGTTTATTGTTCATGTTTGAGATTCCCTGCAGGGCAGAATGCATTTTGACATTGTCTGTGTTTTCTCTTTAGGGTATGAGGTTTGCAGATGCTCTGCTGTGGTTTACCCCTTCTTTCTTAATCAAACATCTATCGATGGGTGGTTGGCAGGTGCTCTGGTGTGGTTTGCTTCTTCTTCCCTATCAAACATCTATCGTCCTTATCTCCCCTTCTCCTTTTTTATGCTT